GCCTGCCAGGTGTAAGGCAAGTAACCTCCTCACTGTACTATTGCTCCGATCCTGGGAGACCCAACTTTGATCTCTTGTACCAGAGGGTTCCCCCAAGTGCTGAATGATTTTCCCCCCCATGAGCACTGGGTTCAGGAGAGCACTGGACCCTGAACACTGCTGAATGTGGCCCCAGGCCCCCACTAAAAATGCTTATGTTGGAGCCAGAGCTATAGTACAACAGGTACGGCATTTGCCTGGCATATGGCCAACCCAGAGTCCATCCCCAGCATCCCAAAGGGTCCCCCAATTCCCTCCAGAACTGGTCCTTAAGCTCAGATTCAGGACTAAGCCCTGAGCATCTTGCTGGGGGTAACCCCCCCCCCAAACAGCAACAGTAAAATGTTGATGCTTTTGTTTTTCTTTTTGGGTCACACCCAGCGATGCACAAAAATTACTCCCGGCGGTGCTTGGGGGATCATATGGGATGCTGGGAATCGAACCCAGATTGGCCGCATGCAAGGCAAATGCCCTACCTGCTGTGCTATCACTCCAGCCCTGAATGTTGATGCTCTTTAACCCAACAACTCACTGGCTGTTCTTGTTTGTTTATTCTCTAGGGGTGCCACCCCAGTGGTGCAGAGGTGGGGCAGGAAGCCAGGCAATGCCAAGGATTGAACTCGCATGCACAGATTAAGCATCTGTGGGCACACGCTCCAGCCCTTCCCACCATCTCCCCAGTTCCCAGTCGCCAACCTCAATCCTTGGAGAAATGATCAGGTACATGGACTTCCTGAAAAGTTAGTTTTGGTCTTGGGGCCACACCCGACGATGCTCAGGGCTGACTCCTGAATCTGAGCTCAGGAATCACTTCTGGTGGGATTCAGGGAACCCTATGGCGTGCTGGGGATCGAACCCAGGTCAGCCACATACAAGGCCAGCTTCTTCCCTGCTGTACTATCTGTTCAACCTTGCCTGCAAGCCTGTGTTCATCTGGGAAGATCAAGAAAGCCGAGGAGACCATCTCTCTCTCTCTCTCTCTCTCTCTCTCTCTCTCTCTCTCTCACACACACACACACACTTCCCCACCCTCTCAGGTCTGCCGAGCGAGCGCCTTCTCTGAGCTGTGTGGGGGCAGCAAATTCATTTCCATAAATAAAATGCTAAGAGAAGCACTCAGCCCATATTAAGTATAAGTTCTCGCTATTAATATGGGTTTGCTGTTGTTGAAAAGACGGCATGATCGGCAAGGACTGAGATGTAATTATCTCCCGGCGACAAATACAGACAGAAGCGGGGAGGTAAAGATGCTGGCACCACCCCCCTCCCGGGCCTGCTCGCATTGTTCCTTGCCATCTCCTTGGGAGCGTACCGGCCCTCCCTGGGGGAAGAAGGGACGGAGACCAGCCCAGAGCGACAGAGATGGGGCTCTAAGGCACCCTTTCCTATGATCTGCAGGGTTGAACTGCGCACGCACACACAGGCCAATAAATCCATTGAGGCTGGAGCCTGAGCCCTAGCATAGCAGGGAGGGCATTTGCTTTGCATGCGGCTGAGCCAGGTTCGATTCCTGGCACCCCATATAAGTCCCCTGAGCCCCATCAGGAGTGATCCCTGAGTGCAGAGCCAGGAGGAAGCCCTGGGCTCAGCTAGGGTGCCCCAACACCCCCACCCCTCAAAAATTCCATCGTGGTGGCATGGGAAGATCTGTATTTCCCACCCACCAGACTTGAAGTCCCCTTAGGGATGACAGGAAGTGTGTGGGACCCCCTCCCCACCCAATCCCATTCTTTTTTTTTTTTTTTTTTTTTTTTGCTTTTAGGGTCACATCCCGCATTGCACAGAGGTTACTCCTGGCTCATGCACTCAGGAATTACTCCTGGCGATGCTCAGGGGGACCATATGGGATGCTGGGAATTGAACCCGGGTCGTCCGTGTGCAAGGCAAACTCCCTACCTGCTGTGCTATCCCTCCAGCCCCCCAAACCCCATTCTTGGAATTTCTGCAAAAGCCTTGGACACAGAGGGACCGGTACATGTGACATGTGGGTTGAATTCCACCTGTGCCTTCTGCCAGGTATGCAGATTCCCAGGGGTCTAGTGGAATACCCACCCCCGCCCCCAGGGGAGGAAGATCTGGAGAGCCCAATCCAGAGAGATGATTCCCCACTGGGAAGTAAGATGTGGCATTCAGCTGGGGTGCTGAGTAGGGCTGCATGTGCTGTTTGCGTGTGTCTGTGGAGCCGCTGTACAGACAGGGGTGGGGGGGACACATGGCCCCCACTTCGGGCTAGACAAGGAGTCTAGCTAGAGCTTTGGACGGCCTTCAGTCCTAGCCCGGCACCTCCCTGCCCAGAGCACGGCGCCAGCGCCGCACGAGTTGCACTTTGCCGCCACCTGGTGGTCACCGGGAGAGTTTCCGTCCGGAACCTGGGCCGCCTTAGCCTCATGACAAAGCCCAAAGATCAAGGGGCATAAAGCGCTGGTTTTACTCGCGGCTGACCTGGATTAGATTCCGAGCATCCCATATGGACCAGGGGTAATTCCTGAGTAATTCCGGATACTGCCACCAGAAGTAATTCCTGAGGGCAGAGCCAGGTGTGGCCCAAAAGGGAAATTAAAAAAAATTGACATCCTGAGCTCTCCAGATCTCTTTCTTTCTTTTTTTCTTTGCTCTTTGGGTCACACCCGGAGATACACAGGGGTTACTCCTGGCTTTGCACTCAGAAATTACTCCTGGCGGTGCTTGGGGTACTATATAGGAGGCTGGGAATCGAACCTGGGTCGGCCACACGGTCACGGTCATGGTCCTCCCATTGTTCATCAATTTGCTCGAGCGGGCCCAGTAACGTCTCCATTGGAGACTTTGTTGTTACTGTGTTTGGCATATCGAATACGTCGCGGGTAGCTTGCCAGGCTCTGCCGTGCGGGCGAGATACTCTCGGTAGCTTGCCGGGCTCTCCGAGAGGGGCGGGGGAATCGAACTCGGGTCGGCCATGTTGGCTGCGTGCAAGCAAACGCCCTACCCGCTGTGCTATCGCTCCAGCCCCTCCAGATCTTTCTGGTGACCCACTGGAGTAATCTTACATCACCAGAGGGCGCCCTAGGGTTTGGGGTGGAGTGCTGAGAAGCCCTGAGGCTCGGGTCAGGTGCAGAAGGAAGCTCTAAGCCAGACACTGCCCGTCCCCGTCAACACCAGTCACCACCAGTGTGCAGACTCTGTGAAGAGAAGAGAGGGTGGGTGGTTAAGTGGATGAACGTGTGGCTGGGTAAGTGGAGTAGATCTCTGAGTAAACGTGGGTGGATGATTGTTAGCATGGGTAGATGAGGAGGGGAGCGGGTGGATATATGAGTGGATGAATGAATGAATCAGGGGATAGATGGATGGGGGGTGGATAATTCATAAGATGGTATTTCGGAGGATGATTTGGTAGACTGCATGCAGGAATCACTCCTGTGGTGTTCAAGGAGGCTGGGAATCGGTCCCAGGTGAGCCGTGTGCAAGGCAAATGCATTAGCTGAGCTCTCTCCCCCGCACGTTACAGACACAGATGCTCATCTGTCTGCTGCTGGTCGCACTACAGCTGCCGGGATCCTGCCCTTTCCTCTGCTGTCCCTTGCTGGAGATCCACTCCACTGATTCACCCACCTAACCTCACCCTCCCATCTATTCACAGAGTCTGCACACTGGTGGCAGCCAACCAGGGCTCAATCCCCAGCACCCCACTGGTTGTCCCCCAAATCCCAGAAGTAGTGATCCCTAAGCACTGAGCAGGAATAAACCCTGAGCACTGCTGGGTGTGCCCACCACCCCCGGAAAAATAAAATCTAGGTGGCTCTTCTCTGCGTGTGTGCTAACCACTGAGCAACTGGGTCTTCTCCAGACTTGACAGTTGATCTGCATCCCCGCTCCACCAGCAGCCGTCGGCGAATGCCACCCACCACTGTCAGAGGGGGCTCTGCACTTTGCCACAGTTCCTACCGTGCCCTAATGCCTCCCCGGGCCAGTTGCCATTCCCTTCCAGTGTATTCCAGTGTTTCTCTCATTGCTTTTTCTCTTGGGGAAAAGGCAAAGTTGCACCCACAAAATATGAGGATTTTTATCAAGGTTCCACCTGGTTTCTGAAGGTCACTGATTTTTCTTTTGCTTCTTGAGTCACAACCAGCGATGCACAGGGGTTATTCCTGACTCATGCACTCAGGAATTACTCCTGGCGGTGCTCAGGGGACCCTATGGAATGCTGGGAATCGAACCCAGGTTGGCCACATGCAAGGCGAACGCCCTACCCGCTGTGCTATCGCTCCAGCCCGATTTTTTCTTTCTTTCTTTTTAGCTTTTTGGGTCACACCCAGAAATGCTCAAGGGTCACTCCTGGCTCTGCAACCAGGAATCACTACTGACGGTGCTTGGGAGACCCTATGGGATGTAGAGGATCGAACCCGGGTCGAATGCGTGCAAGGTAAACTCCCTACCTGCTGTGTTATCACTCCAGCCCCTGAGTTTGACGTTTTCAGGCGCAGAGGGCGACTCAAGGAGGGCAGGGCAGTGCAGGGCAGGATAGGGCAGGGCACAGCAGGACGGGGCAGTGACCCTCACCTACATACAGCCTCTCTGCCTTGCCCCCAGCAAGGACTCAGCCTCGGAGCTAACCAAGCTAATCGGCTCCTTTTGGGCTGGAGCGATAGCACAGCGGGTAGGGCATTCGCCTTACAAGCGGCCAACATGGCCGACCTGAGTTCGATTCCTCCGCCCCTCTCGGAGAGCCCGGCAAGCTACCGAGAGTATTCGATATGCCAGACACAGTAACAACAAAGGCTCCAATGGAGACGTTACTGGGCCCGCTCGAGCAAATCGACGATCAACGGGAGGGCCTTTACCTTACCTTTACCTTCTCTGTAATCAGTAAACGCCAAGGCACGCACCATTATCGTGAGCTCCACTTTATTGTAGCGAGTATAAACCAGTCCCCAGGCGGCACGTCGGGGACCCCAGGATATTGTTTGTCCTTCAGTTCCAGAGTCCCCGCCCCCCCCCCCAACCGCTAGGAAGCAGGGAAGAGGCGGAGCGAGGCGGCCAATGCTGGGCTGGCGCGCCCTCTGCCGGCCACGAGGCCGCTCTGCAGTCGACGATGCCACTTAACGAACCTGAGCCCCAGGAACCAGCTGCCCCAGGACCCCAAAACTGGGCGCAGCCCACCCCGCCTGGGGATGCCACGCCGCACAGTTCTCGCTCCCCGCTTCCCAAGCCCTTCCTGACTTTGATCCTACCCCTCAGCCACTTTCCTGGGCACTGTCAGCTCCCCCATGGGGTGAACCCCTGCTCCCAGACTAGGTGGGGGGGGGGGGGCGGGAATAACCCTGCAGAAGTGGAGGGGCGGGGGGGGAGACCAACTCCCAGCCTCGGCGGCGTCAGGCAGGGCACTTGGGTGACGGGAAGAGTTGGGTGGGGGGCCCTCAGAATTCTGACAGGAAGCACGAGTCCCTGGAGACACCGGGGTCACCAGGGTGAGGCTGTGGCCACGTGGCTGTCCTTCCGTGGCCGCTGTCACGTGGGCCATGCTCGGAGGCGGGGCTGTCCCCCGACGGTTTGCCAAAGTCAGCTTTGGTTTTATTTGAGAAGCTTGTAGCCGTCTTCCTGTTTGATCCTGCAAGGCAAGCAAGGGAGAGAAGGTTCTAGAACCCGTTTCAGAGAAAACCTCCCCCTCCACCCCACGAGTATACACACACACACACACACATACAAACACGGATTTCTCCAAGCAGGGTCAAGGTCACAGGGTCAGAGTCCAAGAACCCAGAAGCTGTGGGAGGCACCCCCGTGTCCAGGGATCTGTGACCCAGTCAGAGGGAGGGGACATGGGCAGATCCCATCCAGGAAAGCCCCGGCACCCAAGAAAGGCTGAGCTTATGGGGTCTGAGCGATAGCACAGCAGGAAGGGTGTTTGTCTTGCACTGACTGACCCAGGTTCAATCCCCGGCATCCCGTAGGGTCCCCTGAGCACCACCAGGAGTCAGCCCTGAGTGCAGAGACAGAAGTCAGCCCTGAGCATGGCTGGGTGTGACCCAACAATCAAAACAAGACAGTCAAAAGGAGGGCCAGGAGGACTGACCCATAGGCAGAAGCTTGCCACAAGGAGTGGGGGAGGGTGGTGAGGACAGAAGGGACATCAACGATGACAACGATAGTGGGAAATGATCACTCTGGACAAGAACTGAGTGCTGAGAGGAGGAAAAGGATAAGCTTTTTGCATTTGTACCTGTAATGCAAACCATAAGGTCCAAAAGGGGGGAAAGAGAGAGAGAGAGAGACAGAGAGAGAGTCTGCCATAAAGGCACACTGGTGTTTGGTGGGAGGGAAACTGAGGACATTGATACTGGAAAATGTGCACGGGTGAAGGGACAGTGTGGTGTGTTGGAACGTTTTATGACTGACACCCAGTCATGAACAAACAAGCAAAACCTGGGGCCCGAGTGATGATGCAGCGCGGAGGGCTCTCGCCTTGCACGCGGTCGACCCAGGTTCGATCCCCGGCATCCCATAGGGTCCCCCGAGCACCGCCAGGAGTGATCCCTGAGTGCAGAGCCAGGAGTCAGCCTTCAGCACTGCCAGGTGTGGCCCCCAAACCAAAACGACAACAAAAAAAACTGAAAAGGCTGAACTAGTGTTTTATTTGGGGGGGGGTGTCCATCCTGCACTGTCACCCTCCCTGAGCACCAGGAGAGACTTCTGTGGGCTCATATCCTAGGGGAGACCCCCCCCAACAATAGCCCACGTGTGTGTGTGGCAGGGGTGGGGTGCTCACCAGCTGGCCTTCACTGCCTTGATGTCGCTCACGAGGTTCTGGGCCAGGCAGATGCCGAAGATCTGGAGCAGCGCGATGCCCACGAAGACTCCGGCCACCACCACCAGGTTGTCCTGCAGCCACTTCTCGAACTGGCCCACGCAGCCTTTGGTGTGGATGGAGCCCTGCTGCTCCAGCTCCTGGGGGCCCCAGGTATGGGTGCACTGGGTGGGGGGGTGAGGGTGCAAGGGGCCCTGCCCGCCCCTCACCCCACCCTCCACTCCCAGGGCAACCCACTAGAGCTCCAGCTCCTGCTCCTGTCTCAGGCCACACGCCCCCTCCTCCAAGAAGCCCTCCCTGACCACTCTACCCTGATCCCAGCCATCACCTCCCTCTTTCCCCTTTGCATAATCGACTCCTTTCTGGGCTTAGCTGGGATGCTCTGCCCTCTTCCGAGTACTCCGGGACTTCCCGGCCCCATTCTCATATTTTCCCTTTGCATAATCAACTCTTTCCTTGGTGGTTGCGGGGGACGCACCAGGCAGTGCTCAGGGCAGATTCCTGGCTCTGCGCTCAAGGGTCACTTCTGGCCATGCTCAGGGGACACATGGGGTGCCAGGGCTGGAACCCGGGTCAGCCACGTGCAAGGCATGTGCCTTACCTGCTGTCCTATCGCTTTAGCTCTGGATAACCACGTCTTTCTGTCTCGGTCCAAAGGCCCCCTCCTCCAAGAAGCCTTCCCTAACTGCCCAACTCTGCTCCCTTCCATGACCAACACTCAGTTTATTACTCCTGCACCCTTCGCTGGACATGGAGGGAATCCCGTACTGTGAGTCACCCCACGAATGCTCCATCAAAAGTTGGATGAACAAAGGCCAGGAAAGGGAGTACCCCTACCCCCGCTTCCGGTCTGGCAGGACCAAGCCCTGCACATCTGGGAGGGCTTTCGAGGGACTCATCCTCACCGCCCCACTGTCCCCTACTGAATCTCTGGGTCCATGAGCGGGGAGTCTGTCCCATCCTGTCCCCTGCCCCCAGACTCACCAGTTTGAGCCGGATGTCGTAGCCACACTGGGTGTTGAGAACATCCTCCTGCAGACAAACGGATCCGTGAGCGACTCCCAAGGAGGGCCCCCCACAGGCTGCACCCCCACACCCCACCCAGCTCTACACCCCTCCTCCCAGCTCTATGCCCTTCGGCTCTTCATTGGAGCCAAGGGAATAGGTTGGATCAAAGATTCTGCCACGCCCACAGCAACCCAGGCCACGCCCATAGCAACCAAGGCCACACCCACAGCGACCCAGGGCTGGCTGGTGGCAGCGCGTGGGAGGCCCTAGGTTTGATCCCAAATGCAAGGTAAAGGTAAAGGCCCTCCCGTTGATCGTCGATTTGCTCGAGCGGGCCCAGTAACGTCTCCATTGGAGACTTTGTTGTTACTGTGTCTGGCATATCGAATACTCTCGGTAGCTTGCCGGGCTCTCCGAGAGGGGCGGAGGAATCGAACTCGGGTCGGCCATGTTGGCCACTTGTAAGGCGGATGCCCTACCTGCTGTGCTATCGCTCCAGCCCTTGCAAATGCAAAAACAACAAAAAAGAAAAATCAGGGGCCCGAGTTATAGGACAGCAGAGCAGGTGTGTGTCCCATATGGTCCTCGGAGCCCCGCCAGGAGTGATCCCTGGGCACAGAGCCAGGTGGGAGCCCTGGGTGGGGCCCCATAACCAAAAAACAAACAAAAGAGCCAGGAGAGAGGACCACAGGGCGGGCTCTCGGCTTGAATGTGGCCTTCTCAGGTTCGATTCCCTGCATCCCACGGGGGCTCCCGGGGGCTCTGTGCTCAGGAATCAGTATTGAGCACCGCGGGTTGTGACCCCTGAAGGAAAAAGCGAAAGAACTCTCCTTGCTCGTGTTTTAATAGGAAACTGGAGAGGTGCTCCCCAGCAGTGCTCGGGAACCCTGGGGACGATTCTGGCGGCCATCCTTGGCCTGTTCATCCAGTGACCAGAGCCTGATGCTTCAGTGAGGGGCCCTGTGACAGCGGTTCTGCTAGGGGTGGGGCGCTGGGGGACATCCCGACCACACCAATCACTAGGGATAAACTCGGGGTGCTGAGCACACATTCCAGCCCTTCCCCTGCCCTCTGCTACGTTTTTTAGGTTTTTTGGTTTTTTTTTTTTTATTTTGCAGTGGAGGAGGGAAATACCCAGCGATGCTCAGGGATTATTCCTGGCTCTGCACTCAGGAATCACTTCTGGCAGTGCTCGGGGCCCCTATGGGATGTCCGGGATCGAAGCCATGTCAGCCGCGGGCAAGGCAAGCTCCTTACCTATAGTTTATCCCAACCTGACCCCTGGGGTCCCGGATCTCAACTGCTCTATAGGAAGAATCCTCGGGAGACTAGAGTAATTGCACAGCAGGGGCGGGGCTTGCCTTGCACACGGACAACCCGGGTTTGATCCCAGAATCTCACGGGGTCCCCCAAGCACCACCAGGAGTGATTCCTTTTTTACTTTTTTTAAAAATTTTTTTTGGGGGGGTCACATCCAGCAATGCTCAGGGGTTACTCCTTGCTCTGCATTCAGGAATTACTCCTGGCGGTGCTCCGGGGACACTGTGGGATGCTGGGAATCGAACCCAGGTTGGCCGCATGCAAAGCAAACGCCCTTCCCACTGTCGGATAATCAGATCCTGAGTGACCCCTGAGTGCAGAGCCAGGAGTAAGCCCTGTGCACTGCCAGGTGTGGCCCAAAAAACAAAGAAAAATAAATCCTTCATCCTGCACCCCAAAAGCCTCTTCACGGCTCCCCAATGCCACCCCAGCAGACACACAGGCACCCAGGAGGGGCACCCCAAGTCCACGAGCCTCCCCACGACATCCCTGACCACCCTAGAGTAAGGCTGAGCCATGGAGACCAGGCTGAGCCCATGGCAAACGCTGCCCCGTCCCCCCACCCCCCGCTGATGCCAGACCCCCACTCACCGCGGGGTCCCTGACGCAGCAGGAGAAGGGCACCCCACAGCGTTCCCGGCTGGGGTTCAAGTCAGTGCAGTTGAAGTAGATGTTTAGGTTCCAGTCGTTGGGCCCTCGGGCACCACAGCAAGACCACTGGAGGCGGGGAGTGGGGAAGAGGGGCCCCAAGTGAGCCAGGCAGAGATGGCATCGGCTTCCTCACAGAAGGACCGAGTGGCAGAGGTCACAGGAGGAGGCCTCCCCCCATATCTCTACCTGTCAGGCTGAGCTGGGCCTGAATTTTTGGGGGACCTCAAGGCTTGTGATGCCTTGGTGAGAGTCCAGGGGTCAGAAGAAGGGGCCCAAGGGTGAGTCCCTCTAACCTGAGGTGGTAAAATGGGATTCAGGAGCAGATTTTAGGACAGTGCTCTGGTAAGAAGCACCAATAAACCCCACTTTTTAAAAAAAATATATAAAAATTTCAAGTTTAAATTTATTGAAAAGACAAAACAGCATCAGTTCTGTCGCAGTGACTATATACATCAAGATAAATATAGGGGCTGGAGCAATAGCACGGCAGGTAGGGCATTTGCCTTGCACACGGCCAACACAGGTTTGATTCCCAGCATCCCATATAGTCCCCCGAGCACCGCCAGGAGTGATTACTGAATGCGGAGCCAGGGGTAACCCCTGAGCATTGCTGGATGTGACCCAAAAAAAGCCTTCCCCCCAAAAAAGATAAATATAGTATTTGTGGGTGCTTTTCTTCTCTGGCTTTTTGTGTCACACCCAGCAATGCTCAGGGGTTACTCCTGGCTCTGCACTCAGGAATTACTCCTGGCGGTGTATGGGGGAAGATATGAAATGCTGGGGATTGAACCTGGGTTGGTCCCATGCAAGGTAAATGCCTTCCCCACTGTACTGCCGCTCTGGGCCCCCTGATAAATATAATATTGGAAGCCTCTTTTCTTTTCTTTTTTTCTTTCGGTGTTTGAGCCACACCTGCTCCTGGCTCTGCACTCAGGGATCACTCTGTACAGGATTCCCTCCCACCCTTAGACATCTCCTCCATCCCTTCTAAGCCCTTACCAGCCCTCACCACCATTTGTCATTTCTTCTCTTTCTGTAGTGCTAGGGATTGAGCCCTAGTTGGCCACGTTACAAGGCAAGTGCCACTATCTCTCTGATCACCCCCTTTTAATGTTGCTGTTTTGGGGTCACCCCAGGTGGTGCTCAGGGCTTACTCCTGAGGAATCACTCCTGGACTGGGGCAGAACTAGATCAGACATGTGCAGGATGAGTGCCTTATCTATCTGCTCTACTGTCTCTCTAGCTCCTTTGGGTTTTTTTGTTCGTTTGTTTCATTTTTTGTTTTGCTTTTTGGGTCACACCCGGCAAGGCACACCGGCAAGGCACAAAGTGCTGCCTTTGCACTCTGGACTTACTCCTGGAGGTGCTCAGGAGACCATATGGGATGCTGGGAATCGAATCCGGGTCGGCCCCGTGCAAGGCAAACGCCCTACCCGCTGTACTATCACTCCAGCCCTTAGCGCCTTTGGTTTTGTTTGGGGGCCACACCCAGCAATGCTCAGGGCTGACTCCTGGCTCTGCGCTCGGGAATCATTCCTGGTGGTGGGGTGCCGGGGATCGAAGCCAGGTCGGTCAGGTACAAGGCAAACTCCTTCCAGCTGGACTATCGCTCCACTGTCCCAGTGCTGTGACCCAAAGCGTCACCCAGCAGCCAGGAAGGAGTCTCTAGCCTCTGTGCGTGCAGTGGCGGGCTTCTTTCCAGCAGAGGGCGCTCCCGGCTCGCTTTCCCAGGGCCTGCTCCAGCTTCAGGGGAAAGACCCCCTGGAGGGGCTCCAGGGTCTCCAAGTGGGGCCTGCGCGTGGAACTCACGTATTCCTGAGCGAAGTCGATGAGGTTCTGGAGGTCAATGTCGTCACGGTAGGCCTTGAGGTTGTTGTTGATGAAAAGGTTCAGCTGATCGCGAATCCAGTCCTTGAAGACGAAGGCCAGAATCCCTGTGGCCAGCTCCAAGAAGAAGATGAGGCCCAGAAACACGGAAAACTGCGGGGAGAAGGGGGTCGTCAGAGGCACTAGGGAGAGGTCTACCCCCACAAAAGTCAGTCGCGGGTTCCGCCTTATTGTGCTCCCATCTTTTTTTCGGTTTGGGGGCCATACCCAGTGGTGCTCAGGGTCTACTCTTGGCTTTGCCCTCAGCAATCACTCCTGGCGGCGTTCAGGGGACCCTATGGGATGCGGGGGATCGAACCCGGGTCGGCCGCGTGCAAGGCCAGTGCCCTGCCACTATGCTCTCTCTCCTGCCCCTAGAATTGATTCTTCTTGTTTGTTTGCTACAGTTACTTGGAGAACTCGCACCTGGGGTGCTCGGCTCAAGACGGGTCACACCCGGTGATGCTCTGGGGTTACTCCTGAGTCTGCAATAAGCAATCACTCGTGGTGGTGCTCGGGGGACCCTATGGGATGCCGGGGAGTGGCCACGTGTGAGACAAGCGACCTCCTCACCGTACCATCATTCCAGTACTCTCATTCTGTTTGGTTTTGGATTTTGGACTATACCTGGTAGTGCTCAGGATTTCCGCCTGGCTCAGTGCTGAGGGATCACTCCTGGCGGGTTTCAGAGGACTGTAGGTGGTACCCGGGATCCAACCTGGGCTGGGCAAACACCCTGCCTGCTGGACTACATCTTCAGCCCCCCCTTATTTTTTCCTTTTTGGGTCACACCCGGCGATGCACAGGGGTTACTCCTGGTTCACGCACTCAGGTATTACTCCTGGCGGTGCTCAAGGGACCATATGGGATGCTAGGAATCAAACCCGGGTTGGCCGCATGCAAGGCAAACGCCCTACCCGCTGTGCTATCACATCAGTCCCTTATTTTGTTTTTAATGATGGTAAAAGGCTTTCTTACCTCCCCTTCCATTCCCTAGTAATTACCCCATCTCCTTGAGAAAGTTGCCCTGCCCGGGAACTTACAGCTGAAAACCTTTTTTAAAAAGAAGCTCACCGGAGAATGGAGAAATAGTACAGTGAGTAAAGCACTTGCTTTGCAGGAAGCCGACCCGGGTTCGATCCCCGGCATCCCATAGGGGCATGGGGTCCTGCAAGCCCCACCAGGAGTAATTCCTGAGTGTAAAGGCAGGACTCAGCCTTGAGCACAGCAGGGTTTTGGCCCCCTCAAATACTAAAAATCAAAACAGAAGTCAAAGGCTAACATCCCATGCCCCCCCATAAACTGGGCATGCGCAAGGCGCCCACCAATCAAAGCTCTACCCCCTCCTCTCTCCACCCTCCAGTCAGAAGGATTGGTCGAACAACAGCCAATCAGAATCCAGGAGATGTAATTAAAAGACTGGCAGTGGAAATGGGAGCTGGGAGCTTCTGGACCAGTAGCATGAACCGGTACTCGATTCCTGGGCATCCTTCCACGCCAGGGGCACAGGAACCAACCCCAATAAACAATCCAGGCCAAGTGGCTGGCATGACCTCTGTTCCTCAGCCCAATGGGTTTCAGTCATTTCCAAGATAAATTCATCCAGATAACAGAAGCTGGTGGGTCTTGATTTTTATTTTTTAATTTTATTTATTATTTGGAGTGGTGTCGGGGCCATGCCCGGCTGTGCTGACTCCTGGCTCTAAACTCAGGGACCACTCCTGAAGGTGCTCGGAAGACCCTGTGGGGTGCCGGGATTCAACCCGGACTGGTCAAGTGTAGGGCAAGTGCCCTTCCCGCTCTGCTATGGCTCTGGCCTCCGGTGGTTCCTGTTTTAATAGCATCCAAAATCAAACCACCCCAACACCAAGCAGGACATGGAGGGGGGTTGGGAGAGTGAAGGTGGAGGTGGTGTACCCCGACGGAGTGCACTCACAAACTTGAGCAAGAAGGTGTTTTCCCGAAGAGCCCCGATGCAGCCGGCAAAGCCCAGCACTGACATGACGCCCCCAACCACGACGAACAGCCACACGGGGTCAAGACCTCCCAAATCGGTCAGCGCTGAGATGTTTGAAAGAACGCCCTGGGGGAGGGGCGGAGAGAGAGAGAGAATTGGGGGTGGGCAATGACTTTCTCACCATCTTTTCTTTTTTTTTTGGAGCGGGTGGGGGGTGGAGGTCACACCCAGTGATGTTCAGGAATCATTCCTGGTGGTGCTCAGGGAACCCTATAGGATCCCGGAGATCAAGCCCGGGTTGGCCGCGTGCAAGGCAAGCGCCTTACCCACTGTCCTATTTCACCAGTCCCTCTCTCGCCATCCTGAAGCACAGGCAGCCCTGCCCCCGCTCCCCGGTCCTAACCCCGCGCCTTACCTTCTCGCCCCAGGCCCACAGGCCAATGGCCAGGAACAAGGCACCCAGCACCTGCAAGAGAGGCAGCAGAGGGTGAGGACTGGGGTCCCAGCATGGGCGCACACGGGAGCTCGGCTTTCCCTTCCTCTCAATGCTTTGATCTTCAGGAAACCACAAGAGAACTCAGTGGTGAAAGTTTTGCCCGCCGAAGGCCCGGGTTGCACCCCTGGCAACCTATAGCTGATACCACCCAGGAGCACAGAGCCAGGAGCAAGAGAAAGAGGGAGAGAGGGGAGCTGGAGCAATAGCACAGCGGGTAGGGCGTTTGCCTTGCACGCAGCCGATCCGGATTGGATTCCCAGCATCCCATAGGGTTCCATGAGCATTGCCAGGAGTAATTCCTGAGTGCATGAGCCAGGAGTAACCCCTGTGCAACGCCGGATGTGACTGAAAAAGAAAAAAAAATGAAGAGAGAGTGGAAGGGGAGGAAGGGGGAGAAGAAGGGAGAGGGGAGGAAAGACTCTGGTCATCAGGATTGGGGGCTACGTCCCACCTTGCCATGGAAGGGCCATCCCGCCTTCCAGGAACACGGACTTGGAAGAGACTTTTGCCAAGCAGCGCCAGCCTGACCCGTTAGCAGTCACGGCACGCACTTTGCTGGAGTGCGCGGCTTCCAGCACCTTCCCCAGCCTGGTCCTCTCTCCTAACCGTTCCTTCATCACCACCCCACCTGAGTTCCCGGGGCCCTCCCCGCCTTAGCCTGGACCTTCCTGCCTGCACTAGTATCTTACCTGAACACTCCTCCGGGTGTCAGGCCAGCTAGCCTGACCCCATGCCACCCACCGGGATGAGGATAACCCCTCCCGATTTCCTTCCAGTATGCGCGTCCTCTCCAAGCTCCTCCCACTGGGCACGGAGCCGGTCGAGGCCACACAGACCACGCCCACTTCCCAGGCCCCGCCCACTGCCCGAATCCCAGACTGGGCGGGAGGGGTGGGGTTGGTGGGGCAGGAGGGAGAGATTGTTTTTTTTTTCCCTGAAGCTGGACTTTCACCCCAAACGTCACTACTGAGGCAGAAAAGATGTAGTCTGGCAGGTAAGGCGTCTGCCTTGCGCGCACAGCACCCCACAGGGTCCCTCAAGCATTGTAAGGAGTGATTCCTGAGTTAACAGAGCCAGGAGGAAGCCCTGAACCAGGTGTGCCCCCAAAAAACAGGAAAAAGAGCAAAGGAAAGAAATCAGTCTGAAGAGATAAGTCCAGAGATTACGGAAGCCCTGAGCACAGCTGGGTGTGGCCCTAAAAGAAAAAAAAAAGGAAGGGCAGAAGGGAAGGTAGAAGAGTGGCAGGGTCAGATGATGGGGTGTCCAGGAGAGGCATGACTCAGTTCTAGGGTTCTAGTGAGAAGCCGGGGAAGGTCACCTGGGGTTTACTCCATATCCAAACAAAACCCTCTCTGGCCTCCGCGGGGGCGGGTCCTGCCCATTCAGCCTCATTTTATTTTCCCTAGAACCTTCTGGGGGTTTTGAATCTTTGTTTTTGGGTCATGCTCAGGGATCACTTCCGGTGGGCTTGGGGGACCCTGTGGGGTGGCAGAGAATGGACTCGGGTTGGCTGCGTGCAAGGCAAGCGCCCTCCCCACTGTTGGATTGCTGCAATCCCTAGAAAGAGATCTTCTATCCTGGCCCCTCCAAATTCATAGCTCAGAGCCCCGTGGAATAAGCCTGAGTCTCTCATGCCGACCCACCACCCATTTGCCTTTGGCCTCACTCCCCCCCCAACTTGCCTGGTCACCTTGACTTTGCACATCCGGACTATGCGACTCTAGGTTAAATGACTAACCTCTCTGCGCCTGTTGCATTCTCTGCCACGTACTAGAATTCGATTCCAACGTGCAGCCTTATGACCCAGAAGGGCTATCTTCATGACCCCAAGGTAGCGACACAGGCCACTCTCTATGATATTCCACCCCCCACCCTTTCTGCGTGTGTGTCAGCCCGAGACGGTCACACCCTGGGCACTGAGAGCAGTTGTCCCGGTCCTGCCTGGACAGAGTCCCGAGTTCCTGGCATTGCAGAGGATGCTCTAAAAAGAGACGGGATGGGGGAGGGAAAGATGACATAGCAGCACCCGGAGTCCAAGCGCGGTGGGAAACCAGCCCTCTGCTTCCTTTATGCGTTTCTGCATGCTGAATCCTGCTCCCCACACCAGCCCCCCACCCAGCTCCCTTTCCACCGCCCCTTCCCCACCTGCCTGCCTTAAAGCAAATGCCTTAGGAGGCTTTGACGCACCCCCTTTGGAGGAGTTGAAGGGCAAAACACCAGCACTGGGTATTGGAGCAGGAGGGAAGCCAGAGTGGAGACCCAGAAACCCTCCTTCCAAAGGGGTAAGCTTAGGGCCAGGGTATCACCGAGCAGGTGGGGGGCGAGGCACTCCAATATGACACCTCCACTTTTCCATACCGAGTCTTGGGAAGACACTGGGGGGTCTCTTTCCCCCTTTCTTCCCGAACCCCCTTGCACGCCGGGCCCCGCCCCCCTGCAGTCCCGGCCTCTCGGCAGTTCTCCCGGCGGATCCTAAGGGGCAAGCGGAAGGAGGGGACCGTTCCAAGCCCTAGTACAAAGGATTGATCTCTACATCCCCCCCACCCCAGTTACGGGGCTGGACCTCCCCGTTGCCATCCCTGAGCAGGGCCCGGAACTCTCCCCGCACTCACCCAGAAGACAATGTTGAAGCCAAACAGGAAGTATTTCCCGCAGCAGCCGACCTCGGGTTCCTGGAAATGCTGGTGCTTGCCTGGCATGATGAGTGGCCGGCGGGAGGCCGGCCCCGGGAAGCAGCCTGCAACCGGGAGCCGGGCGTGGGGGTGTAGGGGGCCGGGCCCAGCCCTTCGCGGCCCGCCCTGGGCTAGAGCCGCCGCGGGCCTAGCCCGGCGGCTGCGGCTTCATGGCCGCGGCCACACCGAGCACCGGTCGGCCCCGCCTGCCCCTGCAGGGACCGCCCCCGGCGCCTGGACCGCCCCGCGCCCGACGCCTTGCTCCAGCCGGGTCCGCACCGAACCCCCGCGCCTCCGGGCTGGGCCCCGCCCCCACGCGAGGCCCCGCCTACAAGTTGGACCACGCCCCTAACGGGCTCCGCCCCCGCGTCGTAATACCCTATGAACTACTTGGTCTTCAGCCTTTACTCCGCCCCCACCCTGAGCTCCGCCCCCACAGTCGAATCCAATAGGTTGAGTCTTTCCTCCCCAGAGCCCCGCCTCTGAGTCAGTTTTGCGTAGGCCCCGCCCCCAGCCCAGACTCCGCCTCTCGCGCAGCCGCCTTAGCGAGCTTCCCCCGCGCGTCCTTCAGTTGCACCGGGGATGCTCGCCAATGGCGCTGCTTGGTTTAGGGGCGACGTTTTCTCCCCCTCCGCCTCCAGATACCCTTCCCAGCAGCGGTACTAGCGCCATCCTAGTTCCGTCCTTGCTGCGGAAACCCACCCCTAGGGAGGGAACTGTGGCGGGCGACTGCGACGGGAGAGAACAGTCGTGTTTTTAAGATAAGTCACAAAGTGTTTTGCTACAGCGAGTGGAATCCGATGCATGATTCACCAGAGATTCAGCTCTGTTTCCTGACTCAAACCCAGAGCAGATGCTGCCGCCTGGGTCTGTGAGCGCCTTTGCTGCTGCTCCCTGCAAGATTTGCCGGGGAACATCTTAACCCATCTCTGACTCAGCCCTTTGGGTGATTGAAGCCCTGCAGTCATACTTCTCCCTCCCACACCAGCGTGGACCCTGATGGGTCCCTTGGCACCTGGAAGCCTCTTCAAGGCAGACGCGAGCCAAACAGGAGAGGTGAATTTTATCCATCCAATTTTAAAGCCCATGTATATAAAATCACTCCAGTTTCTCCAGGGATGCAGCTCAGCGGCAGTTGCTTTCTGTGTGCTAAGATAAGGGCTGGGGGCTGCAGAGACAGTATAGCAGGTAAGATGTTTGTCTTGTATGTAACCAACCCGGGTTCAACCCCCAGCACCTCCTAGGGTCCCCCTGAGCCCTGCTAGGAGTGATCCCTGAGTGCAGATCCAGGAGTGATCATAGTGATCATAGCTGGGTTTGGCCACAAATCAAAACCAGAAATCATCCCGATTGTGTTCCAACGTATTTATTTAGAACAGGATCCTAAAAGGATTCAAGCTTCCAGTTCAGCTACTCCTTAGTCCATCCTTAATTCCCTACCAGCTGCACCACCATCCTCCAATTCCTAATCCAGTGCCACAGGACTACCATCCTCCCAGCCACCCAACTTCCACTTCATCTGGGCACCTTGGCAGGTAAGACCCAAAGCCCCGAGTCACGAGGTTGTCTCAGTCCACTTCTCTGCAGGATCGTGTTCCACAACTAATCTTCCACCCCTTGGGAGGTTCAGTGATCCTCAGTTACTTAAGGGGACTGGAAATGGGGTGGACCCCAAGGCTCCAATGAGAAACAATCCACAAAGGTTTGGAAGCAAAAAGACCAGAGTGGAGAAGAAACCTCCATCCCTGTCTCCGAAGACCTGGTTCCTGTTTATGGCCTTGACCCCCATTCTTCACCCCACCCCAATATATGAAAGAATGTGAATCCCAGACCTGACCTCCTTCCCACCCAGACCCACACAGAGAAAAGTGCTGGATTCTAGAAAGATCCACTGATCCCTTATCCCCCACCACTCAAGGAACATGTGGGTTTCTGCACTCTTGCTGAGCTCTAACTCCCGTTTGTGGAGCTAGAAAGTACCCGGAGGTAAGGTGATTGCCTTACATGTGGCCAACCCTGGTTAGTTTCCCTGGCACCACCAAGTGATCCCCACCAGGGATGCTCTTGACCCTAAGTGCCAGGAATAGCCCCTGAGCTCTGCTGGGTGTAGCAAAGTCCGACAATAACAAAAGTTTGTGTCTTCATCTCAGGAGAGGAAAGAATGAATTCTGCCCAAAGATGGTGGTGCAACCAGCACCCTCCGGATCCCTCACACCATGAATTTGTTCTTGGGTAAGAAGCTGCTCTTCACAGCTGTGTCTACATGAGCCTGGTACCCAATGATGGCCGTGGAGGAGAGCCTCAGACGTTCTTTGTAGATACGCCTGCAAAATGAGAGAGTTAGCAAACAAATAACCTGATCATTTGCTCAAAGTCCTCACTTGGTACCAACTACAGTAACTGTTTCGTGTCTAACCCAGATGGAACCCAGAAGTAAGATTTTTGTTCTTGGCTGGTTTTTGATTGGGGGCCACCTAGCAGTGCTCAGGGTTTACTCCTGGCTCTGCTCTCACCCCGGGCAGGCTCAGGGACCCTCTCAGGTGCTGGGAATTGAACTTGGGTCAGCTGCATGCAAGGCAAGCATCGCCCTCCCCGCTGTACCATCTCTCCAGCCTCAGAAGTAGAGGGCTCTTTAATGCAAAGTCGTTCTAGAAATTAGGCAGCAGATTCCACATCCTCCACTTAGTAAGGAAAGAGTGGGCTTGGAGGAATTTCAGGGATGTATGCACAAACCACCATTCTCTCACCTTCACCCCTCGAAGGGACCCAGCACCCCACGTTCTCCCAGAGGTGCCCCTCACCCAATATGTAGGACACCCTCCTGGTTCTCTGCCTCCTTGGTCCACACAGCAATCTTGTCCCTCTTGGTGCGGATATTGATAACAGCCCCACACACTTCCGGTCCATGCTCTGCAAAGCTTTCTCCAATCAGACACAGCAGCTGGACAAAAATAATAATAATGCGGCGGGGGAGGGTGGCGGGGGGTGTGTGCGGTCCCTTTCCGGAGGAGCCCCCTCACCCCCCCCTACACTCACTGTCTCCAGCCACAGGCGGTCCAGATCTGTGTGCCGTTGTTGCCTGGCCAGGCAAACCAGCCAGCGTCCACCCTTCTTGTTCATGCTGTCTTCCCACATGGGTTCAATGCCATCCTGAGGGCAGAAACCACCAGCCTCCCTTTGCTTAAAGGGAGGTGGGGGCTCCAGAAATTCTCCCAGCCCTGCTTTCGCCACCGGCCTCTACGGACAAAGGGGGTTCAACCAGCTGCTCAGCACCCCACTTTCCTCTGAGTTCTGGGGTGAAGACGATCAGGGAACTTCAACATGTGTCACCTGTCAGAGTCCAGCACCAGCGGGTCTGCCTTATTAAAAGGATTTCCCCTTGACCAGATGACTAACGCGAGGCTAGTGACTGATGCACGTGGGGCGGAGCCAACGTGCCCTATGGGCGGGGCCACCACCTGATAGGCGGGGCCATCGCTCGTTGGGGAGGGGCAGCGCCCGAGCCAGGCACTCAAGACTTGCCGACACACCTAAGGGTGTTGTAGAAACTAGGAATGCACAACGTCTCCTGCGTTCTTTGGGGGCAGGGAGGCCAAGCTTACCCTGAACAGGGCGTAGTCACAGCCTGTGGACAGCCTGCTGGCCAGCTTGATGTTGCTGTATACTCTGGAGAGAACCCACAGACACATATAAACATACAAAAACCTAACGATGACCGTTTACGACTCTGTAGCCCACGCCTGCCTTACTTCCAACTGGCTTTGCTCCCTCAATGTCTTTTTTTTTGGGGGGGGGTCACACCGGGCGATGCCTAGGGGTTACTCCTGGCTCCTGCTCTCAGGAATCATTCCTGGCGGTGCTCGGGGGACCCTATGGGATGCTGGGAATCGAACCCGGGTCCGCTGCGTGTAAGGCAAATGCTCTACCTGCTGTGCTATTGCTCCAACCCCTTCCTCAATGTCTTTCCAGGCCTCACTGCCCTCCACTCACCTTCCCCCTTCCTGGGCATTCCCTCCCTTCTGAGGTCCTCAATGCCCATCTCCTTTCTAGAGCATTCCCTGAGCACCCAAACCCCTAATTGGGGGCAGGAGATGGGAGTGTGGTGTGAGGATTTGTTTCTAGAACCTGGAGGCTGTTGCAACGCTTTTCAGCCCCCACCCAACACTCACACGGCTCTTAATCACCTGCAGACATTGAAAAGACCAAGTCCTTACTTAATGGCTGAGAGTGACTCAGAGAGGGCAAGGGTTTTGCCCAAGGTCACAGAGCAGTGGAACAGTTACATCCATTATAACATTTTGCTTCCCCCTGGGCTAAGCCCTAAGAAGATTGAGGGTGAATGGGATGCCCCAAGCCCAGTGAAACCCCCTCCCATACCGAGACAGAAGGGGAGCCCCTACCCTTAGCAAATAAGGGCTGGGAAGGATGAGGAGGAAACTGACTCCTGACAAGGGCTCAGTTGTCCAGGGGTTCCCAGCACAGCTTCCCCCCACCCCCCAATCATGGGGCAAGCCAGCACTCACGCCCAGAAATCCTCCACTGTGTCAATCTTGGTGATGAGCTGCAGACTGTCACGCCAGGCTCGGCTTCTATCATTCTTGGAGAACCACAGAGCCCACCTAGGAAGGCGGTGACTGGGAGAGAATTGAGGCCCCCCCCCGGGCTTCCCCAAATCTCCCAGCAATTGGACTGGGGTGTCTCTAGGAAGTGGGGTTGCAGGGAAGACAGTGTTTAAGCATGAATTTCAGGGTTCTGGGACTGGAGCCATAGGACAGCACTGGCCTTGCATGCGACTGACCTGGGTTCGATTCCCAGCACCCTATAGGGTCCCCCAGCTACCACCAGGAGTGAGTGACCCCTGAGTGCAGAGTCGGGAGCAAGACCTGAGCACACCAGGTGTGGCCCCCAAACAATTAATTCAGGATTCTAGCTAAGAAGGCCACCAGGCTCAAGTCTTAGCCCACTCTGGCCTCTGGGGGACCGGAAGGGATTGCCCTTGCCGCTGAGTAGGGGTCACCTTACCTGGTCAGTAGTGGGTGCAATGGAACCTTGAGTCCCACAGAACTTTCCTCCCAGCCCTTCCTTCTTAGGCCCAGCGGAGCTCTGGGAGATTTGGGGGTCCCAGTCCCCTTCCCCACAGACGCTCCTGCAGTTTCCTTTGTTTTTTTTTCCTCTTTCTCCACCTCCTTCTCCCAGTCCCGGGTGGCAACATCAGCCCCTGTGGTCTGGCCAAAGGAAGTAGTCGGGGAGGAAGTGAGGATGTGGCTTGTAGGGCATTTGCCTTGCATGCAGCCGATCCGGGTTCGATTCCCAGCATCCCATAGGGTCCCCCAAGCACCGCCAGGAGTAATTCCTGAGTGCAAAGCCGGGAGTAACCCCTGTGCATAGCCGGGTGTAACCCAAAAAAGGCAAAAAAATAAATGGGGAAGAGAGACCAGAGAGAAACATACAGGGCTGGCAGCCGCCATCCTGCTGGGCTTCACAGGTCCCAAAGGCCTAAGGAGGCCCCAGCTGCAGCCTTTTAACCAGGAGTCCGCCCACTCATGAGAGAAGGAAGTCCATCTGCAGAAGCATTCAGTCAATCCTGCCTGCCCCGACCCCTGCCACCTGACTGAGGCACAATCAGCCTCTACTGCGTGTGCCTCATCTGTAAAATGGGAGGTTAAGGAGGGACCAGGTGGTACTCAGGCAATAAAGCTCTTCTGCCCCCCACGCCGTCCCCCAAACCTGAAGCCTGTCTCTAGGTTAAGAAGAATCACACCTGCTAAGTAGGACGTGGATCTTGACAGATTCCCAGGAACCGGGATCTAGCTAGCGTCTTCTGGCTGCCAGTCAGAAGGTCTGAAATTAACCAGGAGGTCTTCAAATTAACCAGTAGGTCCTTGGAAGTGAAGAGAATCTCCAAAGGATTTGGGGGTGGTGGGTGGATATCGGGGCTGGCAACTTAGTAATAGTCCAGCAATTTCGGCACATGCCTTGCAAGCAGCCAACCCGAGTTCGATCCCCAACATCTCATAGGGTCCCCTGAGCACTGCCAGGAGTAATTCTTGAGCGCAGAGCCAGAAGTGATCCATGAGCACCGCTGTATGGGGTCAAAAAAGACACTAACAAACAAACAAACAAACAAAAAATACAAAGAAGAAATGTAAATTCTCTGTGAATGGGTAACCCCTCAGAGTCGCGAGTCCCAGAGGTATGGAACTGAACCCACAATATCACTGCCTGTGCCAGCCGGCATACAACACAGGCAGAAGCCAATGATGCTCCCTGAGTCTTTGCTCCTGTCAGTCAAAAGCAATTAGTGTTAACAGGCTTCCAGGAAGTAGTTGCAGGTAGTCTGTATATTAGGGACCTCGATATGTATCCTATTGGATAAACAAGAGCGGGATTGTGCATTTTATTCGTCTGATTTCTTATGCATCATAATTCTCTAGCCTAACCCTTCTCCAGTCTTTTTTTTTTCTTTTTGGGTCACACTAAGCAATGCACAGGGGTTACTCCTGGCTTTGCACTCGGGAATTACTCCTGGCGATGCTTGGGGTACCATATGGGATGCTGATAATTGAACCCGGATTGTACCTGCTGTACTGTCGCTCCAGCCCCAACAGCCTTGTTTTTTGTTTTTGTTTTGGGGCCACACCCAGGGGTGCTCAGGGCTTACTCCTGGCAGGCTTGGGGAATCCAATGGGGTTCCAGGGATCAAACCCAGGTCGGGCACGTGCAAGGCAAATGCCCTACTCTCTTTGCTATTGCTCCTGGTCCCTGGCACCTAGCTTTTAATAGAATTAAAATGTACTGAATTTGGGAGCAGGAGAGATAGTACAGTGGATAAAAGGCCTTGCAGGTCCGTGCCCCGTGTTCGATCCCTGGGACCCCATAAGTCCCCAGACGCCAGTCAGGAGTGACCCCTGAATACTATGTCTGGGTCGAGAGGAAATCCCAAACAAATAAAAATAAAAAAGTACTTAATTTGTATCTAGTATTTATTTTTTCTTCTGTTTTTTTTTTTTTTGATGTTACAATGTCCAAGGGTTGTACATTCAGCTGTGACCGGGGATCAGGAAGAGCTTTAGGGGGGCTGGCACTCCGTTTGTGGGGCAGAATTCAATACAGGACTTCAAAGTAGCAACATTTATTTATTTATTTTTGCTTTTCGGGTCACACCCCGCAGTGCACAGGGGTTACTTCTGGCTCATGCATTCAGGAATTACTACTGGCGGTACTCAGGGGACCATATGGGATGCTAGGAATCGAACCTGAGTCGGGCGCATGCCAGGCAAACGCCCTATCCGCTGTGCTATTGCTCCAGCCCCCAAAGTAGTAACTCTTATCACTGAGTCCCATTCCCCAGGCCCTGAGCATCTAACTTAGATTCCCAGGAACCCTACTCTAACTTAGAGCCCGCCTCTTGGGCGGGCCTGAAATTAACCAGCCGGTGCTGAAATTAAACAGCGGGTCCTAAAATTAACCAGCGGGTCCTCCGCTGTGGACAAGATCAGGCTTCTTGCTGGAAAAAGTTTTCCCGCCGCCTGTTCGAGTAGAGATCCAAGGGATAAATTCCTGGAAGGGGAGCCGTTGGCTCAATGGGCGCATACATTTTGTGTTTTGTGTAAACACAGCCAACTTGCCTTCCAAAATGCAGGCGCCAATTTGTAGTTCTGCCAGTAGCCTGAGAGCGTTTTTTTCACCCCCGGGTCTCGCTCCTGCTGGCTCCTGACCCCAGCCCTCATTCATCACTTGTCAGACCTCTAGCCTGTCCAACCACAGTGCTCATGTTCTTCCCACAGCCTAGAAACACCCCTCCTGCTTGTCTGCCAGTTGAAATCCCACTGGACCCCAGAGGTCCAGCTTCCAGGTCATCCAGATGTGTTTGTTGTTGTTGTTGTTGTTGTTTGGCTGTTGGTTTTTTTGTTTTGTTTTGTTTTGTGTGGTGCTGGAGATCAAACCCAGATCACAAGAATGCAATGCCTGAGCTTTACTAATGAGCCACGTTTCTGGCCTAAAGTCATCTACTTTGCTTTGTTCTGCTTTGTGCAACATCTGGTGGTGCTCAGGGAGCACTCCTAGTGGGGCTCAGGAGACAATAGATGATGTTGGGCATCAGACCTAGCTGGCAGTGTGCCAGGCTAGCACCCTGCCAGTTGCATTATCTTTTTGGAAGGGGACACAGCTGGCAGTTGTTAGGGGCTTTCTCCTGGGTCTGGGCTCAAGGATCATTTCCAGTGGTGCTACCAGGATCATATGGGATGCTCAGGATTGAACCTGGGTTGGCAAAGGCAAGGCAAGTGTCTATCTGCTGTACAATCACTTCGGGCTCCATTGGGAGACGTTGTGATCATCCCTACCGTACAGTCACTGCACCCTCACACACCTCTTCCACGAGGATCTTGGGGGAGCCCTTTCTTCTTTTTTTTTTCTTTTTGGGTCACACCGGCGATGCTCAGGGGTTACTCCTGGCTTTGCACTCAGGAATTACTCCTGGCGGTGCTCAGGGGACCATATGGGATGCTGGGAATCGAACCCGGGTTGGCCGCGTGCAAGACAAACGCCCTACCCGCTGTGCTATCGCGCCAGCCCTTCTAACTCTCCAGTTGCCCTGCCTTTAAGTTGATCCTGAACACAGTCCTGCCCCAGGCCCTTTGCATGATAGTTTCTCCTCCACGCACCTGTCCCTCACCCCTTTGACCTTGGAGCTCTCTTGGGGGCCTGTTCTCACTCACATTCTTATAGGGTGAATTGGGTCAATCCTCATTCACTGAGGCCCTAGGCTCCGCTCCCTTCTGTAGTCTCTGGGTAACACCTCACTCGGCGGCCACTTTATTATCTTCCTATCTCCCTTCCCACAAGGCTTGTTTGCTTTATGGGTTAACCCGTTTATTCTCTGCCCTGCACCTCTTGTTGGCCAGCAGGCCCGCGCGCGCTCATGTGTGTGTGTGTGCGCGCACGCGCGCAAACACACACACACACACACACACACACACACACACACACACACCAACCTGGAAGCATAGACTTTTTCTTTTCCTCCTTTTTCTTTTCCTATTCATTTCCAGCTTCTAGCCTGCGTGTCCCGAGTCTAAGCGTTGCACAGATGTTGGCCGAGCGAACTCTCTGCGTTTGACAGTAGCGCAAACGCGAGTCCTAAGGTCCCCTCCGGTTCCTTAAAAGCACCGCCCTTCGGCCCCCCTCCCCACCCCAAAAGAACCCCAAAGCCAAGCCAGCGCCTGAGCACTCTTTCGGGCTTGGATGCACCGCGCTGCCCCCCTCCCCCAAACCGAGGCGCTGGGAGGGGGAGGGGGAGGGGAGGGCAGGACGCAAGTGTGACGCCTCGGGGTTCCCAGTGGCGCGTCCCCAGCGCGCTCCGGGAGGCTCGCGGGATCCGCGGAGATGTCACCCTCCCCGCCCCCTGTCAGTCAGGCCGAGGGGGCGGCGCGGCCGCCAGGGGGGGGCGCTGAGCTCAGAGCTGCCGCAGCGCCGGAGTCGGAGCGCGCGAGCAGGCAGGGCGCAAGGCGCGAGCTGTGTGGCTGGCGACGCACCCCAGGCCCGGGCTTTGCTGCGCCCCGGCTCAGGGCCGGCGCCCCCCCGCCTGCTGCAGACCCACCTGAGCGCCTGCATCCCCCATCGCTCCCCTGACCCCTCCCAGCCGGGCCGAGCCGAGCCCCCTGGGTGCACCCGCCGCAGCCGCTGCCGCAGCCGCTTCCTCCATCCCCAGCCCGGCCCCGAATCCAGGTGAGGTGGCCGAGCGCCGGAGCGGGGAAAGGGACCGGCGGCTGAGGGGTACGGGGAGTGTGCAAGGGACTTAGGAAAGGTGAAGGTCTGAGTGTGGTACGGAAGGGGCTGGAGCTGGGTCCGAGAAGGGGCTGGAGGAAGTGATGGGGAAAAGCTATAGAAATGGGAGAGGGGCCCCCTCCCCCGAAAGGCGCCAGGGGTGCGTGTTAGCGTGCACCCCGCGCGGTGTCTAACTGTCGTTCCGGGTCTGCCAACGCCTGAGTGTCCTGTATGTGCACCGGACCGTGTCCGTCGGGGGGTGGGGTGGGGGTCGGCGTGCGTGGCCTTGTGCCCCGCGCGGGTGTCTGGGCACTCCGGTTCGGCGCGCCGGCTAACCGAGGGGGCGGCCCCTTCGTGTCCCCGGGTTTCAAGGACGCTAGGACTCAGGCCGCGCGGCCCAGTGGCCTGGCGCACAGCGGGTGGGGGGACCTTGGGTAGAGAGAGCAGGCAGGCGGCAGCTGTGGCCCTCACGGGAGGGGGGTTGTCTCAAGAGGATGGTAAGGGGGAGTCCGTTTCCCCCCTCCGATCCCGACCCGGGTCCGCGGGACGGGGCGGAGTGAGGGTGCGGCACCAGCGGCGCCCGTGTGTTCGCATCCCTCCCGCAGACCGCCAGGATGGACGTGTTCATGAAGGGCCTGTCCATGGCCAAGGAGGGCGTCGTGGCCGCCGCGGAGAAAACCAAGCAGGGGGTCACCGAGGCGGCGGAGAAGACCAAGGAGGGCGTCCTCTACGTCGGTGGGCGAGGGGCGGGGCTGCGGGCGAGCGAGGGGCGGGGCGAGTGGTGTTATGGGCGGGGCTTGTGCGAGGGGCGGGGCTTCCACTCTCGGATCAGGCACCTTCCCTCGGGTGGGGTGCGGGCACCCAGCCGTGGGTCTCCAGAGATGCAGAGGTCGGGGGAGGTGATCAGGGCACGAGCTGTGAGTCAGCACACCAGGCGGCGTTAGACCATGGCCCTTGGGGATGAGCCAGAGAGCCTGGGTCCCCCAGATCAGCCAAGGAGATAGTAGGCAACAGGAAAGAGGGGAGAAGGGGGGCCCCATCGGTAGACCAGGGTCCACTGTTGTGATGGAAGCAGACACAGCTGTCCTTTTTCTGCGTCTCCTTCATCTCCTGGGCCCTGGTCGTGAGCATGTCCTCTGGGAGTAATGCCAGGGTCTGCCTTACCCCAATCTTTCCACACACCCGGGCAAAATGGGGTTCCCGGAGTCGGGAGAGAGTCTTCTTGGCCAAGGTCACACAGCGGGTACAACCTGAGGCTGGAGCTGGGGCCCAGTATGAGTCACTCCGAAAGGCCGCCAGCAGCCGGGAGGACTGAACCCCTCTCCCGTGTAATTATCTGGGTGCCCTCTTAGTCCTCCTCTCCGGCTGCCTCCACGTTGGAGCTGTTCTTTCTGTTTCCTGGCCTCCCAAGACCTGGGCTCCACCACTGTTCTCCCTCCTCTGGGCCCACCCCCTTAGAAGAAGCTACCAGCTGGCATCAGAAATTACCCCGGCTTTGAGAATTGCTCACTTGAAGGGGCCAGTGATAGATAGAACAGTGGCTGACCTGGTTTGATCCCCAGCATTCCATAGGGTCCCCTGAGCCCCGCCATGATCCCTGAGCAAAGAACCTGAGTACGGCAGGGTGTAGCCCCCAAACCAACAACAACAACAAAAAATGTGGTCACCCTAAGTGGAAAGGAGAGGCAGCCCAATAAATATTTGCATAAATTTGCATAAAGGAAGAAGAGCTGGGGAGAGGGAGAGAATTCAAAGGGTCGAGTGCAGGCTTTGCATGCAGGGGTCCTGGGTTCCATCCCTGAAACTCCCGAGCCCCACTGAACAATCACTACTCAAAAATAGGGGATGGGGTTGGGAAGCAATACTACAGTTGCTAAGGTGTCTGCCTTACACATGGCTGACCTGGGTTCAAAACCCAGGACCCGGGGCTGGAGAGATAGCACAGCGGGTAGGGCGTTTGCCTTGCACGAGGCCGACCCGGGTTCGATTCCTAGCATCCCATATGGTCCCTTGAGCACCGCCAGGAGTAACTCCTGAGTGCAGAGCCAGGAGTAACCCAAAAAACAAAAAAAAGAAAAAAAACCCAGTACCCATATGGTCCCACTTCCAGGAGTACAAAACCATGAGTGGCCCCTGAAAATTGCTGGCTGTGTGCCACCCCCCTCCAAAAAAGGCAGGGGAAGGTGAGGGCAGAGAGGGCAGGGAATGACCCAAGGAGTGACCCAAGACAAACAAACAAACAAAAAAAGGGAGGAAGTTGGGACTTGAGCAATAGTCTAGTGGCAGAACATTTGCCTAGCATCCAGAGACCATGCATCCCGAATGGTCCTTCATGGAGAGACAGACACCCCCTCACACCCCGGAGATCACCTCGTCAGGATTGATCCCTGAGCACAGAGCCGGGAGGAAGCCTGAGCACTGCCCAATGTGTCCCAAAAACAAAACCAAAAAAATGGGGGGATGGAGAGCAGAAAAGCTTCTCTCTGCACCCACAAACCTGGCACCTCTAAGCGATAAGTGGAAATTCAGGATCTTTATGAACACGTGGGGTTGACTTATCCCCTCTGCAGACTGAAATGGGGTGGAATATTTGAGATTTGAGTCTAGCAGATTTGTGATCATGTGAAATATATTTCTAGACCAATTAGGGGTTGCAGGAGGATGCCCCCATCCTTTTTTTAAAATTTTTTCCCCATTCTTGTTTTTTTTTTCCTTTGGGTGGTCACACTCAGTGGTGCTTAAGGCTCTGGTCTCAGGAATGACACTCCTGGCAGACTTGGGGAACCATATGGGCTGCCGGGGATCAAATCCAGATTGGCTGTGTGCAAAACAAATGCCCTCCCGCTGTATTACCACTCTAGTCCTGACCCCCCCCTTCCATCTTTGCCCTTTGAGGGTGCCTGGCATTTGATTAAAGAGCCAGGTAGGGGGTGAGGAAGGCAAAAAAGGCAGGTGCCAAGCAGGGGGAGATGACCCCTGAAAGATGTGCAGATGCTCAGATAAAGCTTTTTGTTTGTTTTGGGGGGGCCACACCCATCAGTGTTCTCTCTGCTCAGGTGGGGTCTTGGAGGTCCCTGGGATTGAACCCAGGTCTGACATCTGACACTAGCAAGTTTTGTGCTGTGTCATCTCTCCAAAAAAAAAAGCATTCTTATTTTTGTTTTATTGTGTTTTGGGGACGGGTCACACACAGCAATGCTCAGGGGTTACTCCTGGCTCTGCACTCAGGAGTTATTCCTGGCGGTACTAGGGAGATCCTGTGGGATGCCGGGAATCGAACTTGGGTCCTCCCCGTGCAAGGAGAGCACTGTATGTGCTATACTATTGCTTTGGCCCCTGAGAAGGCATTCTTTTTTTTTTTTTCTTTTTGGGTCATACCCGGCGATGCTCAGGGGTTACTGCTGGCTTTGCACTCAGGAATTACTCCTGGCGGTGCTCAGCGGACCATATGGGATGCTGGGAATCGAACCCGGGTTGGCCGCGTGCAAGGCAAACGCCCTACCCGCTGTTCTATCACTCCAGCCCCCTTTTTTTTGTTTTTTTGGGTCACACCCGGCGATGCACACGGGTTACTCCTGGCTCATGCACTCAGGAATTACTCCTGGCCGTGCTCGGAGGACCATATGGGATACCTGGGATTGAATCCGGGTCAGTTGTGTACAAGGCAAACTCCCTCCCCGCTGTACTATCGCTCCGGCCCCAAAATCTTTTTTCTGGGAGGACAGGGTGTCTCCCTCCCATTTCTTTTGCTCTGCTGACCCCTTGGCCCTACGTCTCTGCTAACAGACTGGACCCACCCTTCCCCTCTGATTGACACCTCCTGCTTCTCCACTGCAGCCCCAGTAACTTCACAGTTCCTCAATGCTTTGTTCTAGGGTAGCCATGCTCAGGGCTTCCTCCCGGCTCTGTGCTCAGGTGTCACTCCTGGCAGTGCCTGGGGGACCCTATGAGCTGTCAGAAACCGACCCCAGTTGGCGGGTTTTGGACTTATCTCTCCAACCCCAGTTCCTCAGGCTTTAACGTGCTTGTGACTTGGTCCTGTGCTTCCGCTGGGGCCTTAAAGGGGCATCTCTTTCTGTTTTGCCTGGATTTTCAATGCTCACCCCAACACCACTCTAACATACCCCCAGGTGGAACCCCTTCCTTCCTCCTGTCTGACCTAGAGACTGGAAGCCCCTCACCCTAGGATTTGAGGTTCCCAGCCTGGAACCTGCCTCTCCCTCCCCCCATCAGATGTCAAACATGGTAGCACCCAACATTTGGTATAGAGAAGGTGCAGCAAACCTGGGACGGGGGTGGGGAGGCATGAGAATGAGTGAGGGTATCTCCAGCCTCTCTTCCCCGTCTCCTGATCAGGCTGACCTTGGCCCTGAGACACCCCCCACTCCACCTTTCATGCAGCCCCACCATCTCCTCCACACCTTCTGTCTACCCAGATTCTCCATTTCCAGCTCCCTCTTCTGTGGGGTAAGTTTGTAAGATCTCAGGATCCCACTTTTTATTTTTATTTTATTTTATTTTTGCTTTTTGGGTCACACCGAGTGATGCTCAGGGGTTACTCCTGGCACTGCACTCAGGAATTACTCCTGGCCATGCTGGCGGGACCCTATGGGATGCTGGGGATCGAACCTGGGTCAGCCGCGTGCAAGGCAAACGCCCTACCCGCTGTGCTATCACTCCAGCCCCCATCCCACTTTTTTGAGCACCTCTACCACTGCCCCTCCCCCACCACCTGAGATCACCACCTGAAACCAAGTTGCAACCTCCTCCCCCGCCCCCCCAGAAATCGTAGGTGTCAGCCACTATTTCCTTTGAGGCCCAAGTGATGGGATCAGAAAACTTCAAACTTGGATGCCAGTGAAGCCACGTAAGAGCTGGGCGAGGTCTGAATGTGGTTCTGTGTCTGTCTGTCCTGCTGCACCCCACGCCCAGGATGTAACAAGCTGCAAGAGTCACAAGTACAGTGTGACTTGATGAGAGCACTGGAACCCCAAGGAAGTAGGCACAGGGTCTTTGTGCTCAGGGGATCATATGGGATGCCGGGATCCAGCTGGGGGTAGCCGCGTGCAAGGTCAAACAGCCTTACCCGGGGCTAGAGGAATAGCATAGCAGATAGGGCGTTTGCCTTGTAAGTGGCCAACCCGGGTTTGATTCCCAGCATCCCATATGGTCCACCGAGCACCGCCAGAGGTAACTCTCCTGAGTGCATGAGCCAGGAGTAACCCTTGTGCATCGCCAGGTGTGACCCTCCCCCCAAAAAAAAGAAAGAAAAAAGAGCCTTACCGCCCCTCACTTGCAGCTCCAGCCCCTCACTCGCTCCTTCTCTCCGCAGGAAGCAAGACCAGAGAGGGCGTGGTACAAGGCGTGGCCTCAGGTATTAGCCCCGCCCCTTTCCGCCCCCACCTCCCACTGGGTATCCAGAGGGGACCAGAAGAGGTGGAAGAAGGCATCCCATCATCTTCCTGGGGGGAGGGATGTGTGCTATGGGGAGAGGGGGCTCCCCGGGGAAGGTGGGACCAGCAGGGGGCACCTCTGCCTTCTTCACCCTGGTCCCCCCCACCCTCTTCCTTCCCCAGTGGCTGAGAAAACCAAGGAGCAGGCGTCACATCTGGGGGGAGCCGTGTTCTCCGGGGCGGGCAACATCGCGGCAGCCACAGGCCTGGTGAAGAAGGAGGAATTCCCGACCGATCTGAAGGTGAGCGGGTGTCTGGCTGCATGCACCCACATGCACACGCACACACGCACACGCACGTGCACGCGCAAGGACGTTTGCACACGCGCACCCACAAACTTCCTTGCTTCCTTGCCACACTCGGGTCTGTGACAGGTGCCACTGGGCCTAGGGGTCACGCTAGACTCAGCTCAGAGCAGGTGTGTATGAAGGGGTATCTGGGCTGGGAGCACCCCCAGCCTGTGACTTAGAGGCGCAACTTGACTCTTCCTTGTCATAGCTGCGTGTGTCATTGACCATCCACACCTTTCATTCAACAGTCATTCAGGCCAGAGAAGACTGGTTCCGGGTGGGGGTGGGGGGACAGGTGTGGGAATCCTGCAGCGAGCAGGGTACCCCCTTCCTGGAGCTGACAGTGCAGGCAGAAGATAGGAAAGAACCAAGCAAGCAAGATGATTGGTTGTCTTGCTGGGGTTGCTATGAAGAGGAGGAGTGGGGAGAGTGGGGTGATTTTAGCAGGGAGGGTGTCTTAGGAGGTGCCACTGGAGCTGACACCCCCAGATGAGGCTGACTAAGTGTGATGTCAGTTCCAGGCAGAAAGAGCAGCATGTGCAAAGGCCCTGAGGCAGGTGTGAACAGAGGTGGGACAGGGGAATAAGTAGGTTGTACAGGCCTGCTCCCCAAAGCGGGCAGGGGTGTCGTTTGGCCATGCTTTTGTGCCCCAAACCAGACAGCTCTATTCAGGCACACTTTGGGGTGAAGAGATGCACCCTCTGGAACTCTGCAAGGCTCGATTTGACCTTCCTGACTGGGACTGTGAGTAGGTCTCTCTCTCTCTCTCTCTCTCTCTCTCTCTCTCTCTCTCTCTCTCTCTTTTTTGGGTCACATCCGGTGATGCTCAAGGGTTACTCCTGGCTCTGCACTCAGGAATTACTCCTGGCGGTGCTCGAGGGACCATATGGGATACTGGGAGTTGATCCTGGGTCAGCCGTGTGCAAGGCAAATGCCCTACCCGCTGTGCTATGGCTCCAGCCCCCTGTGAGCAGGTCTTAGGTTGGCTCTGGTTCTGGTTTGTTTTTTCCTTTGGGCCACAACTGATGATCCTTATGTGTACCTCAGACTCAGTGCTCAGTAATTCCTCCAGGTGGTGCTCAGGGAACCATATGGGATATTGGGAGCTGAACCTGGGTCAACCGTGTGTAAGGCTAGCACCCTACCCACTGTACTATCTCTCTGGCCCCGAGCTGGAATTTTTTTTTCTTCTTGGGTCACACCCAGCGATACACAGAGGTTACTCCTGGCTCTGTACTCAGGAATCACTCCTGGCGGTGCTCAGAGGACCATATAAGATGCTGGGAATTGAACCCAGGTCAGCCATGTGCAAGGCAAATGCCCTACCCACTCTGCTATTACTCCAGTCCTGGGCTAGGATTTTTTTAATGTTTTAATTTTTGCAAATTGGTAAACAACAGAAGGACAGTGACAGTGATTTTTTTTGCTTGTTTCTTGGCAGTGCTCAGGGGCTACTCTGGGCACAGTGCTCAGAAGTTGTTCCTGGTTGTGCTCAAAGGACCATGCAGTGCCAGGGATAGAATCCAAGAGTCATGGACTGGAGAGCTAGTACAGCGGGTTAGGTGATGCTTGCTTTGCACATGTTCCACTTGGCTTCAATCCCTGGCTCTACATGGGAGTCCCCTGAGCCCGCCACGAGTGATCCCCGAGTGTAGAACCAGGAGTAAGCCCTGAGCACAGTTGGGTGTGGCCCCAAAACCAAAACCAAAAAACCGGGGTTCCTACTTGCAAAGTCTACACTCCAGCACGCTGTGCTCCCCCCTCCTTTAAAAAAAATGCACATGGAGAGGTCTAATTTGTTATTTATTTATTTTTTCTTTTGGGGGGGCACACCCAGCAATGCGTAGGGTTACTTCTTCTGACTCTGCATCCAGGAATTACTCCTGGCGGTGCTCAGGGCCCCTATGGGATGCTGGGGATCGAACCCAGGTCAGCCACGTGCAAAGGCAAACACACTACCTGCTGTACTGTCACTTTGGCCCTGATGTATTGAGCTCTTTTCCCGGTCCTGAGCTGGCATCTGGATTCTGGGCGCAAGAGCTGGACTGCTTGTCCCTAGAATGAACATCTCCCCACCTCCTGCTTTGGCCGAGCCCAGTAAGGATCTGCCAACCCTGGTGCTTCCTGCCCTGCAAAAGAGCTGAATCTGCCTGGCCAGGCTGGGGTCACCCCGGCACCAGCTGGTCTCCAGGCCAATCTTCCAGCCTCCCAAGACTCTCCTCTGTGCATTAGGGGCAGTGGATAGGGGTGGAAATGAGGGAAAGTGATGAGTCCCTTATAAGATGCAGGCATGAGAGGAGAGAGAACAGCAGGTAAAGTGTTTGCCTTTTACATGGTCACCCCAAGTTTAGTCCTCGGAATTGAACCTTAGAGCCAGGAGTCAGGCCCGAGCACAGAGCCAGGAGTCTGCTCTGAGCACAGAGCCATGAGTCAGCCCTGAGCACAGCTGGATGTGCCCTCTGCCCAAAATAGGGGGAATGAAGAAATAATACAGCAAGTAGGGCACTTTCCTTGCACACAGCTGGCCCAGGTTCAATCCCCACCACCCCAGATGGCCCCCTGAACCCCACCAGGAGTAATTCTTTTTTTTCCTCTGCCTTTTGGGTCACACCCAGCGATGCACAGGGGTTACTCCTGGTTCATGCACTCAGGAATTCCTCCTGGCGGTGCTTGGGGGACCATATGGGATGCTGGGAATCGAACCTGGGTCGGCTGCGTGCAAGGCAAACGCCCTACCCACTGTGCTACTGCTCCAGCCCCTAGGAGTGATTCTTGAGTGCAGAGCCAGGAGGAAGCCCTGAGCACCACCGCGTGTACCCCCTCCCCCTAAGAAATAATAAAAGATCCAGGCACATACCAGTTCTCCCCCCTTGACTAGGTGGGTGCCAGCTTGACCCTGGTTTGGGTACACCGCATGGGCTGGCCTGCAGGTGGCTGGCCATGTGTCCGGCAGCCCCCACCCCCACCCCCGCCTCCCTCTCATGCCGCCCCGGTAGCAGATGTAAGGGGGAGGGGAGAGTCTTAGCTCACACATCCAAGCTGCACCCCGCGCTGTTGCTTCCAGCTTAGCTGAAAATAGCAACAGCTGAAGAAACCAGGCCAGGCAGGGCCCTGGGGGAGGAATGGGTGGAAGGTGGCAGGGGAATGGTGCAGAGTCCCGGGCGAGGCACGCTGGCCCAACGCCCCACCTCTCCCCAGCCCCGAGCAGCCTCCCTGGTTGTTTCTGGGGCCCTCCTGGGTCTGCCACTAAGGAGAGAGAGAGGTGACGGCATGCTCCCTCCTGCCCCGATGACAGCAAACACCATCATCCACCACCATCACCTTGCTTCCTGTAGTGAAAGGGGGAATGTAGATTTCACCCCTCATCCTTTCTCCCCACATCAAAGCACTTCAAATTAAAAAACATTTTTTCCTTTTTTTTTTTTTTTTTGCTTTTTGGGTCACACCTAGCGATGCACAGGGGTTATTCCTCGTTCATGCACTCAGGAATTACTCCTGGCCGTGCTCGGGGGACCATATGGGATGCTGGGAATCAAACCCGGTCGGGCCGTGTGCAAGGCAAATGCCCTACCCTCTGTGCTATTGCTCCAGTCCCAAACTTTTTTTTTCTCTTTTTGAGTCACGCCCGGTGATGCACAGGGGTCACTCCTGGTTCATACACTCAGGAATTACTCCTGGCAGTGCTCAGGGGACCATATGGGATGCTGGGAATCGAACCCGGGCTGGCCGCATGCAAGGCAAACGCCCTACCCACTGAGCTATTGCTCCAGCCCCATTTTTCCCCTATTTTTTGGGTCACACTCAGTGATGCTTGGGGCTTCTGCCTGGCTCTGCACTCAGGGAACACTCCTGGTGGGGTGTGGGGAACCCTATGGGAGTGAATCTCGGTGGGCCACCTGCAAGGAAAGCATTCCACCCGCTGCACCTCTCTGGTTCCGGCCAGTAATTTAAGATTCTGGTCACACTGCCAAGAGATCTCAGCCATCTTCCCAAGTCAGCCCAAATCTTTCCAGGGTAAGGCGACAGGAAGGGGAGTTAGTGGGGTGGGGAGGAGGGTGTTTCTCCCCCTCTGACCTAACTGTCCCTGGCCTTTCTCTGCCCACAGCCTGAGGAAGTGGCCCAGGAAGCTGGTGAGGAGCCTCTGATCGAGCCGATGATGGAGCCAGAAGGGGAGAGCTATGACGAGGCGCCCCAGGTGAGAGACTTTAGAGCTGGGTGGGGCTTGCGACATCCCCCAGCATAGAGGACCACTTCTACTGATGGGAGACCACCCCCCACCCCGGCAGAATAGCTGCCCCTGGGCGCTTTACACCCCACTCCCCACTTATCTAGAATTCAGGCCCCAAGAGCTGGCATCTGGGAGAGACGATAGAGTGGACTGACTTGGCATCCCAGCCCAGGAGGATGCGGGTGGGGGGGGGGGGGAAGGGGCGGGGTCTCAGGACCAGAAGCTGTGCGATTGGGTGCTTCTGAGGTGGGGGGGGAAGGGGAGGTATCTCAGTGTCAGACGCCGTCCAATTGGGTGCTTGTGCGGTCCCTGGGAGGGAAGGGGCGGGGTCTCAGGGCCAGAAGCTATCCTGATTGGTCTACAATCCCTCCCCTGTGTTTTTTCTTTTTTTTTGCTCTTCCCCACCTCCCTGCCTCCCCATCCCTCTGATGCAGGAGGAGTATCAGGAGTATGAGCCAGAGGCGTAAGGGCCCAGGACGGCGCCCCCACCAGCAGCACAATCCTTCCCCTGTCCCCTGCCCCGCCCCCCAAAAGCCAGGGCTGTCCTTTAACCACACACACACACACACACACACACACACACACACACACACACACCACACGCACGCACACACACTTACACACACACACACACTCTCTCTCTCTCACTCACTCTCGAGATCTTCCTTTGCTCCGGGGCGGCCCCCTCGGAGCCTGTGTTTGTGTCTGTACATCCGTTTGTCCTCCCAAGCCCGTGTCCAGCCGTGGGGCGCGGCCAGGGCCGGGGCTGTAGCCGCGGCATCCCCCTCAATCCCGACGTAGCCCCCCTCCCGCCCCCTCGCGTCCAGCGTCTGCGCGGATGTAGCATGTTCTCTGTGTTTTTAAACCAAGATCGGATAAGCGACAGCACCCCAAGGTCCACCCTCGACGGAGACTCCGAGGGGCTCCCGGGGCAGCCCCAGAGCTCCTATTCCACCACCCCTCTCCTCCAATCCACTCCCACCACCACGACCCCAAGAACCCTCTTTCCTCCCCGCCCCTCCCCCCGCCCCTTTACCCCCCAAACCCGGAGACAGGCTGTGCCACGCCCCCTCCCCCAGCCGGCCGGGTCCAAGCGCGGGAGTTGTGTGTCGTGATTGTGGCATGGAGAGTCCCCCCATCCCCTTGTGTGAGCGTGTCCGGGTGGGCGGGCCCGGCCGCCCCCCGCGTGTCCATGAATAAAGCCAATCTGTCTGTAGCCGGCACTGCACGGGCAGAGTGGGGTGAGGGCCGGGTGGGGACGGATGAGCCCAGCCAGCCTCAGTCTCTTCTTTGGGACCTAGCACACTCAGCCACCCCGAAAAAGAACTAGCTCGGGTCTTCTCTGCACATCCTCTCCTCCCGATCGGATGACACGGGGGGGGGGCAAGGGTAAGCGATCCCCACCCATGAGGCCCCACCTCGCCCCGCTATGACACCCAGTTGACTTGGAGGCAGTTAGGTGGCGCCACCTGCTGGATAATAAAACACCCTGCGGGGGGGGTGCAGGGTGAAGGGAAAGCGGGGTTGCCGGGGAATGGGGGGCTAGCAGCCCGGGCACGCGGGTGGTCTTGCATGCGCAAGACCCGGCTGGCACGGCGGCGGGTACGGGCGGCGAGAGCGTGCAACGCGGGGTGTCCAAGCCGCAAGACCCGCACGCGTGCGCACAGTTTTGAGCACCGCGGAGAAATCCCCTTCAAGACCAGGTGCGGGAAGCAACCGAAAGGCGCGGGCACCCGGGCACTGAACTCTTTTCACTCCGGGACGTTTGCACACCTGCCCAGGGTAGAAAAAACCCACCCAAGGAAATGGGCAGCGGGAGGGGCCAGTGTCTAGCCACCGGGGCTCTACCTTTCCCCAAAAGGCACCTTAGATCAAAAGGTTGACGGGCTAGACAAGGGGGCTCTTCAGGCGCCGGCCGGGGGCGCTCAGCAGGTCTGGATTGGCACTAGAGGGCCCCCAACACCGCGGCGCAGCGGGGAAGAAGGGGGCGGAGTTAGAGCGGCTCGACACAGAGGCTCCACCTCCGTCCGGCGAAGGCGCTGCTCTGATTGGTTCCTAGAGTGCCGCCCTGAGGCCACGCCCCCCGCCCTATTCCTGCTGCGGCCTTTTGCCGCAGTGACCCCGCCCCTCGCCTTGCGTAAACCCTTTGCCGCAGGCGTGGGGTGGGGGTATGGGTCCCCTCCCTCCCTCCCTAATCTCGCCTGCGCAAATCGGGGCTCCTTTTCCCCTCCTGGGTCCGACCTCCGGTCCAGCTGTAGTCGGGTCTCGTCTTCCCATCTTTCCTGAGCTTTGGGCGGGAGAGAGGGAGAAAAGGGGGTGCCAGGTTCCCCCCAACTGCTGAGACCTTGAACACTGCGGTCATCGGTCTGCTCTTTCATCTTGGCCTGCAACATAGTGTCGGGGGTTGCAGGGGGGCTTTCTTTTCGGAAATAAGAGGCATCTCGCCAACGTTTGGCGCAGGGAGAGCCAACTGGTGGACTTAAATCTCTCTGACTCAAAGTACTAGGAACTTAAAGTCCCTTTGGGCTAAAAATAAGACACTGTTTATCTTATTTAAGACAATATTTGTTTTATTATCCCTGTAGGGGTTGGAGAGATAGTCCAGCGGGGAGGGCTTGCCTTACACGCCGCCGACCAGGGTTAGATCCCCTATACCCCATAGGGTTCCCCGAATCCCGCCAGAAGCATCACCAGGTGTGCCCCCCTGAAAAAAAAAGACATTATTTACAACCCACGGTCACAGTCACGGTCACAGTCCACCCGTTGTTCATCAATTTGCTCGAGCGGGCCCAGTAACATCTCCATCATGAGACTTGTTACTGTGTTTGGCATATCGAATACATCACGGGGAGCTTGCCAGGCTCTGCCGTGCTGGCGAGATACTCTCGGTAGCTTGCTGGGCTCTCCGAGAGTGGCGGAGAAATTGAGCTTGGGTCCACTTGTAAGGCAAACGCCCTACTGCTGTGCTATCGCTCCAGCTTACAACCCACAGGCATTTTAAAACTCTTGGTCTCCAGTTGAATTTGTCTCAGAGAGATGTTTCTGGTCCATGTACAAGGTTTGGGGGTGGTCTGGGTTTTCATTTGTTTCCAGCCAGAGAGTCTCTTTCCCTCCTGCTTTATCTAACCTCGCTCATTTTCATAATTTTCCATGACCTCGGAAATGTTTTCTTTGGTTGCTTCCTCTCCAGCTACCTATAGTTCATTCCTGGCTTTATGTTTTATTTTTTGGAGGGAGGCGGGGGGGGGGGTGTTATGCCAACATGTTCACCACCTGATCCATGGGAAAGTTTATTTCTCCTTCCTGACTGCCAAACAAGGCTCCTAATTTTCTTGGGGTTTTTTTTTGAGGGGTCACACCCGATGCTTGGAGGTTACTCCTGGCTCTGCACTCAGGAATTACTCCTGGCAGTGCTCGGGGGACCATATGGGATGCTGGGAATCGAACCCAAGTCTGCCGCGTGCAAGGCAAATGCCTTATCCGCTGTGCTATCCCTCCAGCCCCAGGCTCCTAGTTTTCTTCTCAGAGAAAAAAGCTTTTATGGGGGTGGGGGGTGCATGTCAGGGAGGGGTCATGCACATGACTTTCCTGAGTTCAGGTCCCCATGTGAAAAGACAATTGTGGATGCTCCTGCAGCTGAACTCTTTCTTTCTTTTCTTTTCTTTCTTTCTTTCTTTCTTTCTTTCTTTCTTTCTTTCTTTCTTTCTTTCTTTCTCTTTCTCTTTCCTTCCTTCTTCGTTCTTCCCTTCCTTCCCTCTCTTCCTTCTTTTCCTTCCTTCCTCCCCTTTTTCCTTCCTTTTCCTTCCTCCCTTCCTTATTTCCTCTTTTCCTTGTCTCCCTTCCTTCCTTCATTTCTTCCTGTGGGCCACTCCAAAGGTGCTCAAGGCTTACAATTGGCTCTGTGCTTGGGAATCAATCACTCCTGGAGGGTGTTAGGTTACCCATGCAGTGCCTGGAATCAAACCTGGAACCCACAACTGCAAGGCAAATGCCTTACCCTCTATACTCTGTCTCTGACCCCAATCCAAGACTTTCCCTTCTCCTCCAACATAGCCATACCAATTTTACCTGCAGGCTTCCATCACAGCTCCATCAATTTCACAAGAAACCACCCTCCATGGTTATTTGGGGTGCCCCCCATTTACCTGAGACATACCAATGGCCCCTTTACCCTCCCCCCTCCCTCCCTGGCCCACACACTCAGAATTTTTCAGAACAAACTTCCAGAATTCTCCACCGCTGAGGTAGTGGAGCAGAAACCCCAAGAGCTGGTGGCCCCAAGTTCACAGAGGGCAAGAGAAAGTGAGTGTGTGATTGGGGGGGGGAGGGAGCTGTGTATGATGTGGGGGTGTCACAGCGTTCATTTCAGGCCTGGACATGTTGTCACTGCTGTGTGTTGTTTGATCATTCTCTGTTCTTAGAAGCCAGGACATCGCTGGTCAGCCTCCCTCTAGAACTCACAGGAATGTACAGTGGCAAGAATACACAATGAGGAATGGTAGTACAGTGGTTCAGGCTCTTACCTGGGTTCGATCCTCGGCATCCCATATGGTCCCCTGGGAGTAAGTCTGGGGCACCGCTGAGTGTGACCCGGAATATTTTTGAAAAGAAGGAGAAAAAAAAGAAGTCTTTGGGGCCAGAGAGATAGTACAGTGAGGAGGGTGTTTGCCTAGCAATTGGCTGACCTAGGTTCAGTCAATTGTACCTGAGCGCCACCAGGAGTAATTCCTGAGTGCAGAGCCAGGAGTAAACCCTGAGCATCACTTGGGTGTGCCCAGCGAGGCTGAGCCCCGCAGGTACACCCCAGATTTCCCCAGCTGGCCCCATCCACATTCCTCAGGGGTTACTCCTGGCTCTGGACGCAGGGATCAGTCCTAATAAGGCTCAGGGGACCCTATGGAACGCCGGGGATTGAACCCAGGCCTGCCGCAAGCAAGGGAAGTGCCTTGTCCGTTGGCCCCAGAACATAGACTATCTTTGGGAGGAAGGCGGAGGACCCACAAAACTGACTCTGTGCGTGAGCGACCCCTGGTGGTCCTCCCGGCGTCCCTGTACTGTGCGAGAGATTCAAACCCGGGTTGGCCTAATGCAAGGTGAGCCCTGTCTTTTCTCTCCACTGAACCCCCGCACTGAGGTTCTTCAAGCTGGACACAGGCTTCTCACCCTCATGAAAGGCTAGGGGGCGCTCCCCGTGCCCCCACTTTCTGCCCGCCTCCCTCCTGGCCTCCCCGCCCCCAGCCCCTGGTACTGCGGTTCTACTGATCTCTCGGGAACTTTATTTTTGTTTTCTTCCTCCCCTATTTATAGCTCTCTCCCCTCCGAACCATCCCTGCATCCATCCCGTTGCCTAGAAACCAGCTCCGGGCTGAGGATGGATGAAGGCCAGGCCCAGCCGTGGCTGGGAGAGAAACAGCTGTCGCCCCCTCCCCCGCTCCCAGACGCCCACCGCCAGCCTGTGCCCAGTGCTCACTGGGGATCTTTACAAGACAAAACAACAGCCTGAGCTGAAAGCCGTCCCCCTCAGCGTCGAAAACGACCTGGTTTGGGGCCCATAGCGATAGTACAGCGGGGAAGGCGCTTGCTTTGCGGTC